AAATTATCCGCTTTATTATATTAATTTATATTAACTATTGGTTAATACCTTAAAATTTTTTCATTCTTTTTATTTAGGATTTGGATATTAAAGAAGCAGTGGCAATGTGGGGATCTGAAAATCATTATCCATCAGAAGCAGTATTCGTACCACGTCCTGGAAAAATCAATGATGAGGATGATGGTGTGTTATTAAGTATTGTATTTGATAGTGAAAATAATAAAAGTCTTCTTTTGATACTTGATGCGAGAACAATGAATGAATTGGCAAGGGCTGATTTACCCCAAGTTGTGCCATTAAGTTTCGGTCATGGAGCTTTTAAAAGGATTGATTAGTAAAAATATCATTAAGTCCATTAATTTATTGATGTTAATCTAAAAATCGATAGTTGCTTTATTTTTTTTTCTATCAATGTAGACCTCTTATTTAATAAAATATTATTTATTAAACAAAATTTTACAATCATAAGATCTTTTATAAATTACGATTAAAAAAATAGATTGCTGTTATTCATACTCCATCTGTAAATTAATTTTTAAGAACTTTGAACGATATCTCGATAACACCTAACCAAATTAAATGAATTCATTTTTATTTAATGAATCAAAACAATTTTTACTGAATTTTGTTAGGTAGCTTTGAGATATAAATATTTTTTCGCGGTTCATTTTGATCTTAAAATTTTGACCCAATAAAATTATTTTATTTTAATTTTACGCTATTGAAATTGTGCTCAGTGGTTATCGTAATATCTTTGCTCAAAATTTAAAATCTTTTAATATACAGGGTGGCATGAATATAGGGTTGTGGGCAGGAGGCAGTGTTGTACACGGACACTGTCCACGAATATTACTTGGACACGGACATATTTGGAAATTGTCCAATGTCCGTGTCCGCCACATGTCCAAAAATGTGGACATTGTCCAACCGGATGTTGTGGTTACACCTATGTTCGGGTTCTAACGATTCAACACAAAATCCAACAAACAACCCTAAGTGGAAGGCTGAAAGAGGGCGTGGAGAATTTGGTCCGGGTTTTAGGATTGTATAGAGGATTTCTTTAGAGGTGGGTGTTGTCTCGTTCTTGTCCTTTGATTAAAGTGGTTTTTCGTTTCGGTTCTTTGATTCTTAGACCTTTTCTTATAAAAATGATTTCTTATCACGTGGCACGTGATTTGGTTCTCTTTCCGATTGGGTAGGGTTTTAACAATGGGATTTTTATC